TATTCAGATAATCACATTGGTTTTTTGCTTCAGTCTGTAAGATGGAAATTATATTTATGGATTTTCTAATATTTTGTCTAAGGTTTATAGTCATGACTACAATTTACCTTTCTTTTTTTTCTTTCTTTCTTTCTTTTTTTTTTTGAGACAGAGCCTCAAGCTCTCCCCCTGAGTAGAGTGCCGTGGCATTACAGCTCACAGCAACCTCCAACTCCTGGGCTCAAGCGAGTCTCCTGCCTCCGCCTCCCATGTAGCTGGGACCACAGGCGCCCGCCGCAACGCCCGGCTGTTTCTTTTTTTTTGGTTGCAGCCGTCATTGTTGTTTGGTGGGTCCAGGCTGGGGAATCGAACCCACCACCTTAGGTGTACGTGGCTGGCACCTTAGCCGGTTGAGCTATAGGTGCCGAGCCAATTTACCTTTCTTTTAATGTTAGTCATTTAGTTACAGTGAAATACTGGCTCCATAGACTAAATGAGGAAGTACTCTTTTTCTGGAAGGACATGCACAAAATTAGGATAATAAATTTCCTTGAAAAAGAACTCCCTATTAAAACTATCTGAGCCTAATGTTTTTATTATGGGAAGATTTATCAGTGGTTCCTTCAATTTCCTTCACAGTATAGTATCAAAAGCAGTTAAATTTTTCTAAGACTTTTGTCTATTTCATCTAAATTTTCAAAACTGTTGGCATATGGCTGTTCGTAACATTGTATTATTATCCAGATAACCTCCACTTAATTCGTAGTACCTCCTCCTTTTCATTTATAAGCTTCTACTTCCTTGATCCTTCTTGCCAGAACTATTTTGTTCATTTTTTCTAGGAACCAATTTTTAGGTTTGTGGATTGTCTCTACTTTAATGCAAATTTTGCTCCTATGAGTTCCGCTCTTTTTTAAATCTCCTTCCTTCCACTTTCTTTGGTTTTATTCCATTGTTCTCTAGTTTCTAAAGAATGAGCTCATTAATTTTAAGGCTGGCTTTCCTATTTTCCACTAATCACTTAAAGATATAAATTTCCCTCAAAGGACCTCTTTTGCTACAGCCTGTAAGCCTTTCAAGTAGCATTTTCATTCCAATTTGGTTATAAGTATTTTTGAATTTCAATGATTTCTTTTTTAGGATGTATTAATTTCCAAATGTGGAAACATATTTATTTCTTCATTAACTTTTATCTATGTTATGCTATGAGCAGAGATCAACAATATGTGTGATACCAAGTCCCTGAAACGTATCAAAGCTTTCATTATGGTCTAGTATATTTTAAATATGTAATGTTTACATCTGAAAAACTGGTTAGATGCACAGCTCATAAACATGGTCTATTAGGTCAAGCTCATAAATTGTCTCCTAACAATATTTGATATCTTTCCTCAACCCTGTCTATTGACAAGATAATGAAGAAACTGTGTTGAGATCTCTTATAATAATAAAGGTATCTATTTCTCCCTGTAGTTCTACCAATAACTACGTCATCTACTTTGAGGTGATTTTAACTAGTCTATTTCTTAATCTTATCTATCCCTGCCCTAATGGCCATTTTACTTGATATTACTATAACTTCAACAATGGTTTTTAAGGTATTAGTTTTTTTTCCATCCCCTATATATCAACTGTTACTGTGCCTTTACGTTTTAGATGTGTCTCAAGAATCTAAATTTTCTTTTCTGATCTAATCTGATCTTTAAACTAAAACATTCAGCCCATTTGCATTAAATATTGGGTTTTTGTTTTGGGGGATTTTTTTTTGAGACAGAGTCACATTTTATTGCCCTCAGTAGAGTGCTATAGTACCACAGCTCATAGCAACCTCAAACTCTTAGGCATAATAATTCTCTTGCCATAGCTTCCCAGTAGCTTGGACTACAGGCGCCTGCCAGAACACCTGGCTATTTTTTTGTTGTATTCATTGTTGTTCAGCAGGACCAGGCTGGGTTAGAACCCACCAGCTCCGGTGTATGTGGCTGGCACCCTAGCTGCTGAGCTATAAGTGCTGTGCTTAAATACGGTATCTTTAAATCTGCTTATGTATCAACCTTTTTATTTCTTTTAAAGGATTTCTTGCTCTATTTTAAAATAATTACATTATTTCCACCCTTAACAGGATGAAAACTTAGCATGCAAGCTCTTATATCCTTAGTCTCCTTGCCTAGCAACCTCACCATGTTATTACCTATTCTAAGTTATTAATGACATTGGGACCAGAAGTGTTCTTTATTTTTTCAGATTTAAAATATGTACATTATACTTATTGGTTGAGTAAACCCTAATCCAAAAACCTGAACCGAGCATATCCTTCAAGCATGACCTTTTTAACATCATGTTAGCATTCAAAAAGTTTAAGATTCCAGACCATTTAGGAATTTGAGATTAGGGATGCTCAGGGTGTACTCATATTCTCTGAACTTAGCCTTTTTTAAAATAATAAACTTTACCATAGTATTCAGTTAACTTTATAAATTGCAACATCTGGCTCGGCGCCTATAGCTCAACCGGCTAAGACGCCAGTCACAAACACCTAAGGTGGCGGGTTCGAATCCCCAGCCCGGACCCGCCAAACAACAATGACGGCTGCAACCAAAAAAAATAGCCGGGTGTTGTGGCGGG